TTTATATGTATATATGTACAAAAAAGAATACATACAATAATATCACGTTAATTAATTTTAATTTTACAGAGTCGAAGAGAATGTTTTGAGAACATCACTAAAGGCTAAAAACATCAACAAATTACAATATTTTATTCAAAAACTAGAAAAAACGTTCACTTCAATTGCATCGGAGCTATAATACCCTTCACAAATAAAAGGCACCTCCTCAAGAACTTGATTCCGATCATTCAATTTGTATGGCAGCAATATGCTATGTGATCCGATCTAAACAATTTTTTCGGATATTACATTGTTGCCTTAGACAATAACTTGTGTTTCGTAAAATTACCTCGTCAAATGAAAAAGTTTTCCATACAAGCACTTTACTCCGATTGTTCAGTTAATATAGCAGCTTTATGCTTAAGTTATCCGATATCGGTTGTTCCGACAAATGAGTAGATCCGTGGGAAAAGGACGGGTGCAAAGTTTCAGATCCATAGCTTAAAAACTGAGGGACTAGTTTGTATATATACAGACAGATGAACAGAAGGACAGAGAGACAGACAGATGGACAGATGCTGATCACTTATACATATATTTTATACTGTCTCCGGCTTTTCCTTCTGGGTGTTACAAACTTCGTGGCAAACTAAATATACCCATTGAGGAATAAAGAACTCTACAGAAACGTATTTTAAGGATAAATTTCTTCATCTCATATTACATTTGTAAATGTATAACAAATGTACCATTTTATAACTCGTCAACTCTCAGAGCAGTTTATATAAAAAGATGAAAAATAGTACCTTGGTTAATTTTTTTGTGCTTTCCGTTTTTGTTTATGTTTTTTTTTTTGTAAATAAATCCAAAGATTATTTCATAAAAAATGAAGTGTCTAAAACCAAGGCCTTTAAGTTCAAACCAATGAAAATTAAGTAGATTTCAAGTGGAAAAGCTATCGATAATATCGATAGTATTTTTTTAACTATCGAGTGGTTCGACTATCGATAGTTTTGGAACACTAATTAGAACCTAAACGGAGTATAAACCTGATGTACGTGTATCAGCACAGACAGTCCGTCATAGATTGCAGGAAAATTCCCTAAATGGCGAAGGCTAGAGTGTGCTAGTGAGCACTAGCAAAATTACTCAAAAAAAAAAAAAACTGTGAAACATGGCCAATTACAGTCATGGTATGGAGGTGTTTCACTTCATTCAGGGTAGGATCACTTGTACGAGTACAAGTGTATGTCTTTGCAAACAATCACAAGTGTTTATATAGCCACTTATTGTACTAATCTTTGTCTTTAAGTGCCGTTATTAATTGATAAGTGATTTATGTCACTTCATAAAAGCGAATCAACTAATCTTAAATTATTTAATAAATTGTATAAAATGTAAGTTGTTGTTGTGAATTTGTTTTGATCATTGCCATATACCTACATATATACATATCGAAATAATTTATTTTAATTTACTTAACATGTGAAACATTTTTTTATATTATAGATATTTACATATATACAATGTATTTGCATATTACATACAACAAAATATAATAAAATTCAAATTTCCAAACATACTTGTAATGTAAATATTAATTTGAAGCTGAGCGCTATTGCAACCATGAAAATAATTTCAAAATGAAAAGGAATGCTGAATTACGTAGAAGCGAACAAGAACACAAAGCATGCCACCCGAGCTCGAGCGGCAAGGTCCCTTCGTATTTTCTCGTCGTCCCCTAGCCTACAAATCGGTTTTGGCGACTAAAAGAGTCGTCGTGTGAACATAGTCCAGCAATTATTTATTTTATTGGAAAAGATGTTGTGACAACACCAACTTGTCACTTGAGAAAATTCTGATATGGAATATTTTGTTATAATTCTTCCATACCTCTAGTGTAGGATCATTTGTAAACAAAAACCACATATTTGTATGCAGACACAAATTGCCAAATAAAATAAATAACTTACTAGTAGTATATGCAAATGTGTATTTATCAAGTTCTCTCAGTTTTTTTAAAGCAATATTTAAAAGTTGTGAAAGAGCAATAAAGTCGGCAGACGACATGTCCTTATGGGCACAGTTATTTAGACAGCCACACCGTTTCACAGCAGCAGACACTTGCCGACAAAAAAATTTTGCTGTCGCGCAGTAGTCTATGTGTTTAAAGCTTAATCGTAAAAAATTGAAAACAGTTGTTGTGCATTAATGTCACAAGAGCGTTTTAACCATCAAATTCACGATTCACCTATGTACATAAGTATGTAGGTATATTATAACAAGTAAGAAAGGGCTAAGTTCCGGTATATTTTCCATATGCTGTTAACCAGGGTAGCGGATATCATTATATTGCTGATATGGGGGCTAGACCAAGGCCTCGAACTATTTATTTTATAACGCAAAAACATATTGTGGTCAAGAAAACATGCATACTTAATTTCATAAATATATCAGACGTATTGACCAGCATAAATGGTATAAACTTAACCGGAAAGTCAAACATCACTATATTGGATATATTTGTTCTAAAGGAAGGTCTGAACTGATTGAATTTAGTTTTGACACTAAGCTCGGAATTCAGCTTTCTGTCTTTCTCTCTCTGATAATTTTAATATAATATATATATATAATTTTATATCCGTCTCGATTAGTTTTAAGTAGGAGAACAAGACTAATAAACTTTGTGCAATTTGTTGCGTGCGTAAAATAATAGCAATCATGAAAAATTTTCTTCGCGAGGAACCGTATACACCTATGTACAGTAGTATTACTTGTAGCAATGGAATCACCTATCGAAAACAACTTGATTTGGGAGTTGGTATGTTAAATTGTTTGTACTTATTTGTACCTTCATCCTTTTTTATCATAAGTGACGCTAAAAACAATATGACTATACGGCAATTCTTCAATCTTGTGTTGCAAAATGTAACTAAATATGTTCTCCTTAAACTATGTCACTTAAAGATATTTTAAAAATAGCTATCAAAATCAACTAAACAAACACAAAATAAATACCAACTAATAATACACAAATATAAAACTAAACTATAATTAGAATTAAACAGACCAACCGTTTGACTGGGGACCTCCCCACTCAAAACCAGAGAATGATAGTTCGGTAATAATAAAACATTGACGAAAAGTTTATATCAGGGAAAGTATTAGAGAAAATTTATTTTACAAGATATTCACATATGAAATAAAATTGAAATCGGTATTTATAACTAGTGCAGAAGCCTTAAAAAATGATAAAAAAGAAAGAAATTCATAGTAGGTTTAAACTTAGGTGACCATATTTGTCCCGGCAAAATCCGGGACGGTTTTTTTAATCATCGATGTTTTCCATACTACAATTCACTGAAAATCGCGACATATAATACTTGTAGGTGATTTTTTGAGACCTTAAAATATGCTCCTGTTTTGATCTTTGAAAATTTGCGAAAGTATAAAATGTTGGGTCATATCTTTTTTACTTGTTTTTCCTTAGGTTAAATAAAAAGATAAGATTAGAAGTCTTTATGATACACAAACTGTATTGCATTATTTAATTGAGATGTAAACATAAGTAATGAAATTTTGATATTTGATGATTTTAGCAAACACATTATTTAGTAATAAAAGTTTTGTAGATAGAGCTATGTTTGAATGTTAAGTAAAACAGTGTTCTATTGTACCTTTAATGAGCCATTCATAATGCTAAAACTGGTCTAAAATGTGTAAAACATAACTTAGTGCATTGAAGAAATCGGTTCAACTTATGAGGTATCTGTATCATACTCAACTCCATACCTTGTTGCTTTTAGATGTAAAAAGATGTTGACAAAAAAAAAATTTGGAGCAGAGAAATAGCAAACTGAACACAGCTAATGCTTTTCTAAATTCTAAATTATTATCTAATGGCTATGTTATGTCAGCAGTGTTAATTTCACATCACGGTTTGAATACGTAATTCATGATTCGATTAAACTACCACAGCACGTTCTGGAAACAATAAGCTTACAATTTTTTGTGCGCATGTGTAAGTGCAAGTATCTTTAAAACTTTATGAAACTTGTATAAGTTCAGCGATTTTTATCGAAACTTCGTTTAATTTATCATTTAATATACCCGTGTCGACTATTGCTTAGATTTTAAGAATAAATTAAATGACAAGATAATTAAAATTTACTACAATTGCGGCAAAATGTGTTGTTAAATATTAAAATGTTGTTGTACAAGTACGTGGGTGTAGGTAATCCACCATTATGGATCAATTACAAGCGCATATTTAACATTAGTATAGTTAGCATTAAGTCAATATTTTTATTGACTACAAAAGTACCTATGCATATATCTCGCACTAATTTAGAAACCAATTTAAATAAGTTATTTTAAAACTGTAGTGCAACATGTTGTATAAATAATTGCATTATTATTTAATTGTTCATAAAAGAGTGCAACAATCGAGTTGATAGTTATTTATCTACCACTAGCTCTTTCGTATCGTGAATTTAATAAACGCTTACATTACTCCCTACTTTAGGAAGAAGAAAACGTTTTCAATCATTATTTAAAACAATAAATGAGCAGATTATTGGAAAGGACGTGAGTGATATCTTAAAACTGAGTCTCCGACATTTCCTTTTGGGTGTTAAAAACATCGTGGCAAACTTAATATTGTCTGTTAAGTGTATATAAATAATTAATAAGCAAATTTTAATCTCTGTCATTCGTAATGCTTTAGTTGCTAAAATGCTTATACTTTATTTTTTATTTATTTGTAAACGTTTTCAATTGAATATGTGTCAAAATTAACTTTTTCTTAATCTGATTCTTTCTTAATAAAGAAATTCTTTTTTCGCATTAAAAAAAAGTTGCTGTAACTCTTTATTGGTGTTTTCTTAATATTACTATAATTGATTTTTGGCCTTAAGATTTAAAAATACAAGAAAAAAGAGAAATTTGTGTTTTCATTTGTTTTTCAAACCATTCCCACTAGTAAAATTTATCTAAAATATACAAAACAAAACTTGGTAGCATTGAAGACAGAGGTTATATCACTTTATTTTTCGATAACTTTATTGTTGCTTTTATATGTAATTTTTTTGACAAGAGGGCAGATGCGAAATCAAGAAGTTTAATTGGCAATAAATAGAAGCCTATTATGACTAAAAATGCATATAAGTTGAATTTTGTTGCAAAACCTTTATTTGCTCCTTTTCGGCATAGATTCCACATTGAATTCGGTATTAAATACCACGCCTTTTGTACTTTTTCCCATAGTTCCTCCATGTTTCGTGGTTTAATGAGTCCCAACTTTACAATCTTCCACAGCTTTTCTATAGGATTACAATTCAAAGGTAGTAACAACGGTACATGATTTCCCGAATCCAAAACATCCCTATATCCCGTGTTTGAAAGTTTGTGTCGTGTATTAGAGATTCAGTTCAGCGTTCTTCGGATATCGAACACAAACTTCTCCATCACTACCTACCTATTATTATATTATATTTATTTTAGATTAATCGGAGCAAAGGCTCTTATTCTACTTTTTACATTTTCTTCAGCGGTCCAATTGATATGCGCTGAAACAAAAGCAATCCGATTGTTCCGCTATCGTTTTTGTCAACATTGGATCTTTATGGGACAACCTTCGGAAAATATTATCTTCTACAAGGCGACGTGCAACAGTTCTCGAAGAAATTTGTACACCCAATTCTCTTTGGAAAGCTACGAATACTTAAAAAGATTGCGTTTTGATAAAATCTCTATGTAATTGTCATCCTGAGATGTCGTTTTTCGTAGGCGTCTCCTCAATTCACATTCTTGTGGAGGTTTCAAAACATTATATACAAATTTTGATATCTTTTTAAAATTTTTGCAATTTTCCTTTGGGTATTACCTTTATTTTGCAACGTTTTATGGTCTTACGCTCTGCCGCTGTTCAATGCTTAAAACTTATTTATAAAAATTTAAAAAAAAAATCGTCAAAAATTTCCAGGACATTAAGTTATTTTGAAAAACGCAAACTTCTATAAAAATACAAGCGGTTTTTTTGGGTTAACTTGAAGTCATAAATAAATAGGTACATTTTTACTCTTTTTAAATGTATACAGCCCATAACTTCTATTACTTGGCGAATATATGATATCGAAACAACATTTTAATATTACGGATTTTGCAAAAAAAGTACACTTTGGGTATTTTGACTTAAAACTTAGAAAACAGCATAAAGTTTGGGCATCTCATAAAGTAAAGCGCAGTGGCGAATTTGCATGGATTCATCAAAAAAAAGCCTTAAAACAGTCCTGCTTCATAATGACGGTTTCCATACGTCCTTTCCTGTCGGTCATTCTGTACACCTCAGGGAAACCTACAAGAACTTGGATTTGGTTCTTTGCAAATTGATAACTTGTTTAACATATGTAGGTATTTACATTGTCAGAAAAGATTGTAATTTATTTCGGAACCATCATTCGACTCTATTTTATTGCCAATAACTGTATATGTCTCACCGAAATATTGTTTTACTGTTTTCATTTTGTGAAGAAAATAATCGGATAGTTTAACCAGTTTAATGTTAATCCTAGAAATATTTTCTTTGGTTTATGTTCTATGTTTTTACAATCGTTTTTCATAAAAAATAATATAAAGCATTCATTATCGTATAAATTAGCTAATACCTTCTTTTAAAATGGCGGTCACATAAAACTGTTTACTTTCTTCTTACGGACACCACGTTTCTTGTTCTTGTTCGTGTCAGTCCGCTACTAAAAACTTTGACAGGTTTTAATTATAATTAAACAAAGTTTTTTATAAATATGTATTTATTATAACTTTTCATTGGAACGTTAGCAAAGAGTTAAGTTAGTATTTATTTAGTTGTAAGTATGTATTTATTCTTCCGTTGATATCTGATATAAATAAACATATCAATATTCATAATTCCAATTATGTCGAAAATTTGCATAATGGAAAAGTATTATATTTTTTTAATTAATACAATGTATTTAGAAATTTAAATTTTATAAAAAATATTTGTCTAATATAACAGAAATATTTGAGAAAATTGGGGATTAGCTAATTCAAAATATATTTAAGAAAATGACATGAAATGAAAATGCATAAAATTATCCGTATCGAGTTCTCATGTGCAAATGCTATGAGCAACACAAAAAGCAAAGTTGGATAATGAGCAACAAAAGCTGCCTCATTTGAACAGAGTGTGCGGATGTATATACGAGTATGTATTATGTATGCATTATTACATTTGATAATGGGATTATGCTACAAAACTCTACAGAAACATCCAGAACTAAGATCATAATCTGGCACAATTCCCATGTAACTTAATCAAGTTATGATATTTACGTTAGTGAGTTTCTTTTCCAAAAGAAAATTTTTGAATAGAAACAATGTCATAGACTGAATAACGCAAGGAAATAAACTGCGAGTAAAACATATACGAGGATATATACAAACATACATACATACATATGCATAAATGCAAGTATACATCGTCTTTATAAGAATATTACAGTAGTCCTTGGTTAAATTAATTTTAAAATTGCATAACTTTCAGTAATTATGAAATCCAAGTATTATCATACCTCGTTTAGTGTATAGGCCAATAAGCGATGAGTTTTCTCATAAACTCTTCTGCAAATTTATGTACATATGTACCAGATACATATACCTACATACATAGGTACATGAAGGATGTTGGTCGAGCTTCTCCTACAAGATCTGCTTTATCAGATTAACAGCCCATAAAATAGGCCTTTTTATCGATATTTATGATTCACTAACACGGGAAATAACTCGATAATTTAATGCCTAAGGAGTTAGATTGACTAAAATTCTTTTGAAGCATAGCTTTGGTAAATTATTTTTAACCACTTTTTCTGTAAAACACGCACACATAAAGTGAGTTCTACTGTACTGTACATTAATAAAACTATCTCATATGGCATTTCAAATTGTTGATATCTTATGTTTTCGGAAATAAACAGCTTATTATTATCTAAGTGTGCTTTTACATTGGGACTCTTTTGTAACCCAAACCGGTTTATTGTGGGCGAGGGGACGACGAGAAAAGACGAAGCGACCGTGCCACTCCTGTTCGGGTAGCACGCTTTGTGTTCTTGTTCGTAACAGCTCGCTGCTACCCTTTTCAGCATTCCTTTTCACTTTCAAATTCTTGGAACGGTTGCAAGAGCGCTCGGTTTCAAATGAATTCGTTCACAAACTTAAATTCTGTTATATATTTTTTGTATGTAATATGCAATAGAATAATAGAAATATTTTGAAAAATTGTAAATAAGGAGAAAATTAAAATATAGATTATGGAGTAAAGAAATTATGAATTTTTAATACTTAAAGATTAGGAAATTCCTGTAATAAATTTGGCCTTGAAAATATTAGTAGCGGATATTCAATTCATTCTGGTGGATTCAGGAATTGCTGTCTTAAGTATTTCTTTGAAACTATTAAGCGGGTAGGTATTAAGCATATTGTTCTACCATATTCATGGTAATTCATTGCAAGCAAAATGTGTCTCCATCATCTCAACATACAAATGAAATATGCAACACGCTCTAAGTGTTGCGAAGTCGAACCGCACAAATATTTACGAACATTTTGTGAAAAGGGATGCAGAAAAACTAGACTCGAATTGCTGGACTCTTTTTGCCCGTGTAAATGCACAGAGCGACACCAAAAGAGAATTTGCCGAAAACGAGGGTCAAAAGAGTCTGTGTGTAAAAGCCGTCTAAGTAAACTGCTGTTGGCCAATGTTTATATTTATATATAAAAGTATGTACTTAACTATAAGTATTTTGAATTGCAGATAAGCGCTGATGCAAACTATTTGTCCCATCAGGTCGTCTCTAAAACATCTACTGTGTGTTCACAATTTATGTGTGAATGCAAATAAATTTACGTGCATTTATTGTTGTACTGGTAAAAAATTTTCCGCTCAGTCATATATCATATATACTTACATACTATGCATCAATACGACTTTATACGAATTAACTTCCACTTTCCGGGATTACCGATTTTACTTAAATGCTAGTAATTAAATCAAAATTTTTTATTGAAATACTTTATGGTAATTATAGTATCTTTGATTGGCCTCGCCACTTCTCTGCTATCTACTACATATATCTGTACTTGTAAAAATCTTTACTTTTGAAAACAACAACAAAGATCCCTGTTGAATTCAATACAAAAGAGTACCTATGTGGTTACCCCTCTCTTTAACTCTTATGATTGTGCTTGACTATTACTACTTTATGCCTGTTGTATTTTCGATTGACCACATTACAGCTCATTTCTCTTAATACTTAGAAAGATATAAGCATGTATTTAACGTTTTGAAAAACTCTTAACGTTCATGCGTTTATAATTAGAAATTGCACGTCCAACCTATCGCGAATTTCCAATATTCCTGGTCTAATGATCTGTTTAAGCACAATTATTGCATTTATAAAAGTGTAACATGTGTCGCTTAACTAAAAAAAAATACCCATAGACACGGTTAATTCTTAAAAACTATGCCACAACAAAAAAGTATGAAAGTAAATAAATTGTAGATATTCTATAGAAATTTTTTTTTTAATATTTCGATAGATTAAAATTTTAAAAATATCTCTTAAAATTATTTTAGCCGTTTTAGTTTCTATCATTACGCTGCCTGGAACTTCACGTAAGACTTTGAACGCGTTTTTTTGGAAACTACTTTTTTGCGGCCGTGTAATCTAATAATTAAATAGTTCTCCCCCGTATGAACCAATCAAATCTGAAATATTATATTCGAGAAAGTTCATATGTTAGTGTGTTCTTGTATACAATTCGCCAATGTTCTCTTTTTCAGATGACACATAGGGAAGGAACCTGGACGACTAGGCATTTTTTCTCCCATTCTACATTACATAATGCCCGAATATCTGAAACCTCTATATATCTCTGAGTAAATCTCCAGAAACGTTATTTAAATGCAATCAACGAAAATAGTTTGGTTTATTGCTTTGTATATTATAGTCATTCCAAATATTTTAATATAATACATTAGTTTACTTTTTCTTGAAGCAAATAAGTTATATAAGAATCATGATAAAGAAAACAAATTTATTATTATATTTATTTTCGAAAAACCATTACTTTGAATTCGTTATACATGTATTTCAAAATTTGCAATGCATTTTAGGCAAGAAATACAAATTGAAAGCACAAACATGTCAATAGCTCTAAAATAGCCATAAATACTGTAAAGACAAATTGACTAGTACAAATAATAGTAATGAATCTCCAGTATCCACAATAAAATTAGCTTGTGAGTTACTGCAAATTTGCTCTTTTCCTAGCAAAAGGTAGATTTATGTGTGCAATATGAGTATGTTACAATATATGGAAGAGTTTCTTTTTTACATACATATATTATATATGTTACATATATTTATACTCTTGCAACATATTACTACGGAGTATGGTAGTTTTTTTCACCAAACGGTTGCTTCTATCACCTCAAACTAATAGAGATAGATATAGGTTTATATATATAAATGATCAGGATGACGATACAAGCTGAAATCCAGATGTCAGTCCGTCTGTCCTTTCGTCGTCTGTGCTAACTGTAAATTGAGTAAAAAATGAGATATCGTAAGGAAACTTGGTGCACATGTTCTTCGGCAAAAACAATAAGGACGATTTCGTAGATAGGGGCCATCGGACTACTGCCACGCCCACAAAACCTCATTAAAGGAAAACCTATAAATTTCCATAACTAAGCACACAAATAAGATACAGAACTGTAATTTGGCATAGGGGATCGCAGTAGTAAGGGACTCCTGTGAGCAAAAACTTTTGAAAAAGTGAGCGTGGCCCCGCCTTCTAAGAGGTTTTATGTACCTAAACCACTTAAGCTACAATAACCAAAGGTAGAACAAATTGTTTAAGAACTAATACCGACAGTATGAACATGGCTAATAATCTGGATAATAAAAAAAAAAAATCCCGTTAAATTATCTTCTTATATACTTACACATACAGCTACTGACAATAATATATAATAGAATTTTATCACATTTCAAAAGTAAAATTAACTAAATAACGGCTGATCCAAGTAGAGGTACTTTTTTCAATAGCCTTTTTTGACAGATCACGTGTGAGTGAACTTTATTACGAAAATTCACGTTTTGTAAACAATGTGTTTCGCGCGCTTTACTCAACTAATGGTCAATATAATCGGCCTACTGAGCGTACTATTCGCACACCATCACCCATCTTGAGGCCCAGCATTCATTATTGGATAATATTCGACCGAATAGATCACGTCCAGCACGCAGTGAAGAAAATATAGCGGCCGTAGCTGAGAGTGTACACGAAGACGATTTCAGCGCCTTTCGCAGCAACTCGGACTGACGTATGGAACGACTTGGCGCGTTTTACGTCGAGATCTTAAATTGAAAGCATACCAAATACAGCTTGTGCAAGAACTGAAGTCGCTCGACCATGCCAAGCAACATCGCTTCGCTCTATGGGCTCTTGAAAAGTTCCAAGAATATCCGAATTTCGTTCAGTGAAGGATCCATTTCTGGCTCAATGGAGATTTAAGAGCTGCTATTTTATCCAGAAAAAACAACGGTTTGGTATGGTTCGTGGGCCGGTGGAATCATCGGTCCATATTTCGTCAAAAATGGTGAGAACGTAACCGTCTATGGCGACCATTATCGCGCCATAATAACTGAGTGATGCCTGAAATTGAAGCTCGTGATCTCGGCGACATTTAGTTTCAACAAGACGGCGCCACTTTCCACACATCGCATCAATCAACAGATTTAATTAGAGAACACTTCGGTGAGCAGATAATTTCACGATTTGGGCCTTTCGATTAGCCACCAAGATTGTTTGATATCACACCGACTTTTTTCTGTGGGGATATGTCATTCGCCAGTTACCAGTCAAAATGCTCGAACAAGTCATCGAAAGTTGGACTCAACGGATGGACCATCTGAGACGTAGCCAAGGCCAACATTTGAAAATGGATGACCCTATGGATGACCCTATTTAATAATCAGTTCAGTGTTTTTGGCTTATTAACAATGGAGTGGGGGCTAAATAAAATTGCTGTGATTGCCTTACATAAGTGTAGGCAAGTGAAATTTATGAGGTGTGATCGTCCTCAGCAATTTAACTTGGCCTGATTTCATATGACTTTAGGGGAATTGCAAAACAAAATATCAGCAACGCTAAAGTTTTTGAATCTATTATCGCAGTCCAAAAAACTTTTTCGATTTCTTCATTAATTTTTTGTTCTCAGCATGTTCGTAAAGGGAAATCTATGTAGTTTAACAAATTTGCTTGAATTTGTGAACCATGTATCATTGGATTTTAGGGAACTTAAGCATACGGATGTTGTATATACTGACTTTAGCAAAGCTTTCGATGAAGTAAACTTTTCGACTCTCGTACATAAACTTAAATTTATTTTTTCAATTGAATCTCAGAAAATATAAGACGTTGTGCTTTCCCTGTAGATCTGTGCAAGCCTCACTTTTGTGACTCACTTTTTAAAATTAAAAATACTGTATTGCTTTCTCTTAATAAATAAATTCGTAAAAATTTTTTATAACGTAATTTTAACTCTTAGTTGTTGAAATTTTTGTTTCTGTAGCTGAGCAATTTTAGATCTCGACGCTTAAAAAACTCTCTTGTCTTTTATTACCCTGCCAATTAATTCCGGAAGTATGCGGACTGTGCCTCTGGCACCGTTTGGGCGGGAGGAGGGTAACCGTTGGAATATTATTGCCCATAAAAAATTATTTACGAACGCATTTGCAAAAATCCCCTTAGAAAGCAGAAAATGATGTGAAGCGGAATGGATATACCGACTGGTCAGAAGATGGACAACGCGCTTGAAATAAATTAGGCTAAAAAAATGCCAGAGGCTTCTTCAGTTATACGCGGTCAACGGCCATAAAATTATCTGTAAAAATATGAAAAACTTGTCACTGCTGAAGAAGTTTTTAATAAGAGTAATCTTCGATGGAGAGCATTAAAGGTTTCAGCAATATTCTGCCCCAGCACACAAGGTAAAAACCACCCAGCAGTGGCTTAAAATAAATATTCCTGGTTTCATAGCTACAGATGATAAACCGTCTGGAAGTTCAGATTTGAATCTTTTAGACTACAGTTTGTGATCAGAGTTGGAGAACATGGCCTGTCGAATACCCAATGTGCGCGCCGCTAATTGCCGAATAGTTTGAAGGCTTTTGTGAAACCAAAAAGTGAGCATTTCGAATAAAATTTTGTACATCGCTCATTTAATATAATATATGTACCATATATAGGTATGGTATTATTAAATGAAATTAAATGTATTAAAAAATTATTATAGTTTCATTTTTATAACGGCCTGAACTTATAACAGAACTTATGGCAAGGCCAAGTATAAGTTAATATTTTGTGGTAAGAAGATTATCGTATGTTTAATATGAGTATGTGTTATCAACCAACTAAATTCGCCGCAATAGATTTGGGAGCGACTTCAAATTATATAATTGTATGCTCAAAGCAACGACGCCTATCTAGGCGACTATCTCCCAGCGCTGAGCTCGAAAACATCTCAGTGCGAGAACTGGCGAAATGGCACGTAGAGCTGGCTGCAGAAAGAAAAGCATAAATCGGCCTACACGATGAGCGAGTAGGCAGTCGTACAGAGTTTTTGCAGCCGTTCAGTAGTCAACGCAACATAAAATATCCAAGCAACGACAGTATTTTTGTGGATCACTGAACCGAACAAGAAGATCATCAAACGCAAGTCAGCTGGTCCAGACAAACCAACTTAACCCACGAACATTCATACATACAAATTTGTCTACATTAATTTTGCGTAGTGTCTTCGGATCATATAATATACAAGCGCATACATGCTTGTATATAAATATGTATGTACGTATATACAAATGAATATCTACTGATATGTGTTTTATCCGAGTGAAAACGTATTTGATGTCGAGACGCCGTAAAAGTGTCTATTATTGTTAAAAGGAAAATCTCTGCAAATGAAAAATCGCTAAGTTCGTATAAAAATTTAATCGAAAATTTTAGCGTTGAGTGAAAAACATTCGCGGAACATTAATTATTTGGTTTCAAGGGTCATATTCATGCCTTGCATACGTCAGCAGACAAATAATGCAAATTTGCGAAAGGACAGCCACGAAAAATAGTAAAAAAAAGGAAACAGCTAACATTGTATAATCGTGTTAAAAAATAAAATAAAATAACTGTGAAAAACCATTCGTTTTATTTGTTAAATATTGGCTCAATTAAAAATTTGTGAGAGTACAGTGTTTTTGTTTGCGAACCTTGTATGGTCAGAGTTATGAAAGTGCCACCATATACACTGCCACCCTATCGAAATAAAAGAAACCCGAAATATCCATTCGACGCATCTAAAAGTTGTCATACAAAATTCGAGATTGTCGCACTGGCGAAGGATGGCAACCTTAAGTCGAAATTAAAAAAGTTACAAATATATTTTATGTTTAATAATTTATGTAAACGGAAATCCATAGATTTCGAACAGCACTTGATAAAAATATTGACAATAAAAACACAAAATACTTCGTTGATCATTATTGAACGAAGTTTCGTGAGTGTTGTGAAATCGATCAAATTAATTGTTGGTTGAAAAGTTCAAGTTTCAGTTGAGTTGAACGGGACAAGTGCAGTGATATTGGCGTAGATATTTGACAAATTCTTATTTACAGTGCTTCAATATTTTATTAAGGTGAGTGGTTTTTATGCAAAAAATGTATAGAAGATTTTGGTAGTTCAAAATAATACATTTCTTTAAAATAAGTATTGTTTTTGCATTAAAATGCTTGGAACTATTACTTTGTTTTTGATGTCGAAGTGAATGCTCACTTTCCTGAAAGAGGTTGCACTTCGGAGCAGTATGTTCCCTGCTACCTTAATATCAGCCACTTCTGTCTTACAGTGGTCTGGTAGCCTAAACTCAGTGCGATGGTTCAGGTTCTTACAGAATATTATTAGATTGACTACGATTTCATAGAATCCCTACCTCTTCTCTATAACTTCTCTACAGCTATATAAGGCAACCGATGCCTTCCCTACTCTCTTCTCAATACCAACCAATCGCAACCATGAAAGCTTTCTATCAAGGTATTTCCCCTTAGCAACAGGTTGAAAGCATAAGCCTCCGAAAGAGGAACGTCTAAGATTTTATATCTCCTGGTAAATAAAACCATTTCAGTTTTACTAGCGTTGACGGCTAAACCCTTCGATTAGCTCGTAGACGGTAGTTAAAAATTTTTCTTTTACCCTAAGAGCAACGTAGTCAGCGTAAGCTATCACCCGACTCGTTCTTCGAGTTCTTTGAGTAGATCATTTATTACAAGGATGCAGATCAGCCGCATCCTGTGGAGTGTCCCTATTAACCCTTCCAGAAGCTTTTGTACTACCCCATTCGCGACGACCACTACGTCGCAAATAAGTCTATATATGAGGTGCTTGAGGTCCGATTCCACCTCAAACTTTTCGAGGGCTTTAATCACCGCCTCCCGCCGCACATTGCTAAAACCTACCTTGATGTCGAGAAAGGTGCCTACCGTAAATTTTTCATTGTGCATTAGGGCTTCCTCCATCCATGACTCTACAGCGTACAGAGCAGTATCGACCAACCTACCTTAACAGTTTAGCCCTCTGTATTCTGCTCCTTAGAAACGAGGATAGACTAATGGGCCTGGAATCCTTTGATGGGAGCAGCCAGCTGCATGACACCTTGAGTTGCACCGGGGACTTTAAAGGTTTAAACGAATTCAACAGAAGGTACAAGATGGCTGTACAGCCCTCCCAAAGCTCCCCCAGTGTGAATTCTTTGCCGGAATGGTTCAACGGAATGTGAGCATCTAGAAGTAGACTTAACGACTACTCAATACTACTATGTTCCATTTACCATCAGCATTTCTTAGATACCCCAGTGGAGTAGGATTTTTTCGCAAGCATGCATTTAAACCTTGCGGACTCAGTCCTCAACACTTCCGCAGAAGGATGTGCACGAGGCTCTCTTGTATTTCTTTAACTCGGACTTGTATATGCCAGTCCTATTATATACCGCGCCCAGTCGTCACTAAAGCCACTTCTAGGGTGTTTGTTGGAAAGTCTTGTGCTCGACCATCTGTTCTCAGTTACTCCCTATGTTTAACAAAGGGAATTTCCCTTTACATTTTTGAGTTTTCAGATAACAGGAGCATTCAAGAGTAGTCTCAAACAGAGCTAAAACCCTCGACGTACTCATCGACGTGTTCGAGTCTTACACGAATTTCGTTCTATACGATTAAAATGTGTTAGTATAAAAAAATATACCTGCTTTTATAATGTTTTGTTATTTCTGCTACTCTTTTGTTGGTTGACAACTCGAACACCAATACGCTTTTTCTTAACAATTCTGCAAACATCTTTGGGGCGTGTATGCAGTTCTGCATTTTTCAATGGATGACAAGATTTAGTATGGTTTATTGATATAAGAAATTTAATATATTCTTATTCATCATAGTTTAGCTTAAAAATGTTCCTATGTTGCCGGAGAAAATCACTTTTATATTATTTATTTCAAATTTTTCCCGAAAATTTGCATATGTATATCCCAGGACCAACTTATCTTTTATGTCTTAAGATATTGAAGTATATTGTTTACGATCGTTTTCAAGGAAAAATAATTTTTTTTAAAGCAAAAGTAGTCGAAACAAATAAGGAAGGGCTAAATTCGGATGTAACCGAACATTTTATACTCTCGCAAAGTCATATACTTGTAGTATACTCGTTTGAGATTTCTTTCTGAATTGACCGATATTTTCGGTATGAGGTCAACTATAGGCACTGGGGTCTACATATTCAGTACTTGGGGCTTGAACAGTTTTGGTTCGATTTAGACAATTTTTGGTCACATGGTGGCATACTTTAAACGTATTATTCACACAAAGTTTTACCCTGATATAATCATTGTTACTTGATTTGCATACTAGAAATATAGGAAATAGGCGTGGTTGTAATGAAGAATGTTAAGTACAGAATTTGGTTGAAATCGATTGAGCAGATCCCAAGATATCGGTTTTTACCTGGGGCGGCCACTGTCTAATTTTGAACGCGGTGCCTATGAAGTCATCTTATACCATCCTAGAGATAAAATTTAATGTTTCTGTCGTGTTTAGTGCTTGGTTTATCGCGCTTTTACAAGTAGTATTTTTTAACAGTACCAGTGCCAGTGAATCTTGTTATTATAGCTTTAGCGGTTTAGGAGATAAGCACATTAAACCTATTAGGGTGGGACCACACCTACTTTAAAAAAAACTGAGGATGGCCCTCCCTAATGTAATCCTGTGTACCAAATCTCAAGTCTTGTATCTTATTGTGGAGCTTAGTTATGGCAATTTATTTGTTTTTGATTAATGGCGTTTTGTCTGCGTGGCAGTGGTCAGATTACGCCCATCTGCAATACCAACCGTCTCACGGTACCAAGAAACATGTCTATCAAGTTTCATAAAGATATCTAAATTTTTACTCAATTTAGAGCTTGCACGGACGGACGGACAGACAGTCACCCGGATTTCAACACGTCTCTTCATCCTGACCATTTATATATTTATAACCCTGTATCTAACTCGATTAGTTTTAGGTGATACAAACAACCGTTAGGTGAACAAAACTATTATACTCTGTAGCAACAAGTTGCGAGGGGATAAAAATGTTAGCCATGTCTAATCGCACCGTAAGACTGGGTATTGATCAAAAGAGGGGATTCAGGGGGTAAAAATCTTGAGAGTGAAATTGAATTCGTTGAGGAAGGCCGCAATGTGTGATGAACACAACAAGTCGGATCAGATTACATCGCGTCAAGTCATTGTATACTCCACACTGTCAATTTGGAATATTTATTTCCCACAATTACAAAGAAAATTACAATTATCGTTAAAATAGTTTTCTATTTTAAACGAAAACCAATAATTGAAATTGCTTATATGTACTGTAATCACATTTAAAGCAAAAAACCACGTTAACTGCCGTTGTACCGAAGCTAGAATACCCTTCACAAATAAAGAAGTTTCCACACAAGAACTTGATTTTGATCGTTCAATTTGTATGGCAGCTTAATGATTTTTTTTCAAATATGTTGTATTGGGCAATAATGCATGTCAAATTTCGGGATGACATCTCGTCAAATTAAAAAGTTTTTAAACACATGAGTTTGATTTTGATCGTTCAGTTTGTATGGCTATAGTAATTCGCTCGTAGCGTTGCCTTGGGCAAGGATCCATGCTAGATATCGTGAAGATATCTTTCCAAATAAACAGGTGTTTGGCAACTATATGCTATAGTGGTCCAATATAGGCGCTTCCGAGAAATAAGCAGATTCTTGGGGAGAAAGTGTGCGAATTTCAGAGTAATATCTCCAAAACTGAGGTACTAGTTCGCGTATATACAGACCGACGGATGGCCGGACTGGCGAACAGATAGAGGGATATGTCTAAATCAACTCAGCTCGTAATGCTGATCATTTATATACATGTATACGTATATATTAAAGAGTCTTCGACGATTCCTTTTGGGTGTTACAAACATCGTGACACACTTAATACACCTTATTCAGGGTATAAATCCTATTCAAGATTGTATTGAATGCATTTATGCAATACAAGAATAAAATTCAAGTATTGTATTCTACAATAAAAAGTTGCTACATACTACATGGGCTGAAAAGTCGTTGGCCCTACAGTTGAACAATATTTTTTGAATGAAAATATATCTTTATTCTTCGACATAATCTCCATCTAGGTCAATGCATTTCCTGTACCGGTTTCTTCACCTAAATAATAATATGCCAATTAATAACGTTTTCGTTAGCTGATGTTCTTTTTTCAAGCATTTATATGCGCATATTTTAACCTATGCATAAATATAATTATAATTCTCTTTTCTGGTTATTGCATTATAGAAAACATATTTTAATATAAGTAGAAAAAATGATTATGCAACAATTTGGAATTCTGTGCTTATTTACATATGTATGTATGTACATCTTTCTATTTGGTACATTTTTTCAATGGACTTTCCATTTCGTTTACTTTCTTGATCAATGTTTACTTGATCATTCGATAAAATTTGGAACAAAACAATGGAAAGACACTACAATGGACAACTTTTTCAATTTACAGAAAATTTGTATATGATTCAGAATTATTCTACTAAATTGGGGTGGTAACATAAATCGTAGTTTAGTGATTTGGGAAATATTTTATTCAGAATTATGGTGTAAATAGTAAATGAGTTTGATAGATGTAACAAAGATAACAAAATGTAAGTGTGGTAAGCGATCTGATCATAAAATTTGTGTAAATTTTAACTTGGAATAGTTCTGATAGTAGTTTTAGCTGTGATAAAAGCTTTTTCAGTAGTACTATTGTTATAAAATTATTAATTTTGTACTTCATATTAATTTGTAGGAACAGATTATTCGAGAGTTACGTTGATACACAATTAAAATATTGCGAATTTCAGAACCTCCATTTTCTTTTGTTGCGAAATAATGTGTTGCTCAGGAATATTCATCAGTCAATCAATCAGTCAGTTGAAACACTATGTCAGTTGATATGCTAATGGTGAAATTAATGTGAGACGTATAAAATAGCAGTAGCCGAATCACTGCTCATCGTTAAGTTGATAAACAAAATATATTTAAATGTTGCTAATTTATGCGAATATGTCGTTGAT